TCAAAACAAAGGCAACAATGGCGCGATTCCGAAGAGCACTCGAGTCGCATGGACCGGTGACGGCGGCAGCGCGCGTCGCAGAAATCGGCGGCCGGAATCGATGTAACACAGTCGAGGGCCCATTGTGGCGAGCCCGCAATTACATCGGTCCCATTGTCGGGGTCCATCGATACGGCGTTTTGTTACTGTTGCTCCCGATGTCCCTCGTCGCTCTCCGTCTCCCTCCGACCGCGGCGGCGGAGATTTCCTCTTTGTTTCCCGTGGCGGCTACCCCGAGTGCGAGGCAAGGTGCACTCCGCTCGCCCCCTGTGGGAACCACTTGTCGATTTTATTAATTCCGCTCGCCGATGCCCGCGGACTCACCTTTTATTTTAAGCGAAGGAATTCTCCGCGCGGGAATAATGCCGCGTCACAATGGCGGCCGAGGCACCCTCCCCTGGAGCCGGCCCCTGGAGCCGGCCCCCAAAGACCGAGAAGCCGAGGGATTATTATTCCCTCGTCCGGAAACGCTACGGTATTACTCGCCGAGTGCGTTGCCTCTTCGGCCTACAACGGGGGTCGTGTCTGCGGCACGAACTCGCAACATACGGCTACTCGAGCTTTATTAAATCGAGATGCTAATTGGTCCCGGCGATGGGCACCCCTTCCCCACGGGTTCCCGGCCAGAACGGATTTCGAATCCTTATGGAGGATCGCTTACCTGCCGTTGCTCCCGATCTCGTTACGCGATATTAATCGCTGGTGATTCCCGAGCGAAGTCAAATTGGTCAAGATTTTTCCGGCCGGCAGGTATTTTAGGATATCCCACGTTATTCGGGAAAACTTTATTCGTCGCCGTTTTCGGACCGTGAGCGCGTAATCGGGATAAGTGGAGCTATCTTCGTTCTCGAAAATGGCGACTCTCGTGGTCACGCGCGGACCTCTCTTTCGCGGAATTTTCTGCAATATTTCTCCGAGGCTACCCGAAGGATACCTAACCCTGGGCGGACTGTTTACCTGAGTAATTTGTCAGAGTATAATACCGGAATGGCAGATCTTCTCTTCGGTGTAAAGCTTTAGTGCCCCGAGGGGTTACCATTTAATCTGCAGGTTTGCGGTGGCCCCGGAAGCTATTTTGAACGAGCCGAAATTTAGGACTCCGCTTTGCTTGGATCGCGATTCGAAGGACGACCCCGAACTATTTTTCTCTTCTATTGTATACGAGCCCGAATCTCTTTTTACGTGCATAGATACCCATCATAGTTCTTGAAAAGTAAATGCCTAATTCCTTTTAAATCAATTCTCTCGGGTTATAAATGTTTTATTCCTTGAATATGGAGCCGTTAAGGCGAAGTGAAACCCCCACCAAATCGGTTGATTCGAATACAACACTTTTTCTTAAGGGTATTAGATAGAACTGTCCGAAACTTTGACACATGACTCGTGAGCACCTAGGAATTATCCTGACACTTTCAAAATTTGGATTTTTAAAAATTTTTTTAACTTAGCCCAGACCAGAACCAAAATGGCGTTGAGCTCGCATATTTCAATTCAGATTCAATTATTGAAGGCTCTAATATGAGAAACGAAAGTGTCAGGACAATTGTACGACAATTTAGAACACTCTGGGGATCGAGAAACTCACATTTGAACGTAGTAAAGGCAAAAAAGTGTCTTGCACGCTTTTATGCTAAAACGATGACAATACGAGGTCTCGGGGAGAAAAATTAGTTGACACGCAAATCACAGATGGCGCAAGGAGTCCCTCTGCAGTCAAATTGGGCCCCAGGAACTATAAATCCAAAGGATTTCGGGAATTTTACTTTAATTTCTTCACAATTATTGCTCGAAAACGACAGACGGAGTATGCCATTTCGTACAATACTCAATATAATTCGACACGGCTGTAAATATAAAAACGAACGCCGGCAATGTAGGTATTTAAAAAAACCTGTTTTACCGACGTCGATCATGTTCCTCGACGTGTTTCATTTCACCTTAATGCTCTTCGGTTTCGTTCGGTGAAACTTAGGTGCTGGGTTTCTCGTAGTCTGATCACTCTTACGACGTGTTAAAATTTTTTATCCAGGCAAATTCCTGCACTTACCTCCGTACTTATTATGTAAATTTAATAACGATGCAGCTATTCGTGCTAATAATTACTGTTGGGGTAAACAGGGTATTGCATCGACACACTTCGGGGGGGCAGTCGTGAACGAGTGGCAACAACTCGGTGCTCGTTCATGCGAGATGCAAGAGTCACTCGAGCCATTGGGTTGCGCGCCGAATACATTTTGCATCCCGCATCCCTCGTCGAGCCCTCTCGTCCGGAGAAATCCGTGAGAATTTCTACACCTTCCGAGATGTCACCGGGATTAAAAAAGGGGCACGTGGTCCTTCCAAAATTCGTTGCACTGTCAGATCGCGAATTCACGATTCGACATTTCATGCCCGAGCGAAGTTCCGTACACGTGGTCGAACGTAATACGGCAGGAATGCCACCCCTTGGCCATAAAGGGGTGTTCGAAAGGGTGCCCATTGCAATGAGTTTGTTTAGAACGATCGTTTCATCGGCATGGATATGGTTATATCAATACGCGAGGAGTAATTAGAGGGGCGAATGGAAGCTGAATGAAAGTCTTCTGAAAATGTTTCTGCATTCGTCGAAGGTGCTCGAGTAAATTTATAGGGAGTGTCGAACTCGGAACATAAAACAGACGGTTCAATTTGTAACTCTGAAAATCAATGTCGCGAATTAAAAAAGAAAAAGGAAGTACAAGAAGTAACTCCTTTACCAGAAAATTTCTAGAAAAATTATTCAACGTGCCTCTTTACATCTTTCCGTGAGTAATAACGCTTTTGATTCGGATTTATAGAATTTTGATAATTTCCATAAATTCCATACATTTCATCCAGAGGAACCCTGTTTACCCTCGACTTTTCTCTCGGAAAGGAAGGAGGATCCGTTTGGAAGCGAAAGGTGAACCTCGTGTCCCTTTTTTAAGAGCAAACTCAGCCGGGATCATCGCTAGAAATAACAGCTTCGATCAGCTCCAGGATGCGCGGACAACGTTGACAAAGCCCGGCAAAAGTCTCGAAAGTCCACCTCATAGCCACGAGGGCCTCGGATTGAAAACCTCCCTAAAATGGATCTTTAGCCGGCCCCAGAAAGCGATTATTTGCCCGTCCTGGTGATTACATGTTGGCCTACCGAAGTGAGGGAAACGCCTTAAATGTACTGACAGCCCGACCGAGCTCGGCCGCGGATGTCCTTTGTACGGCGATTTTCCCTCAAATCACCGTGAAATGCCCACGAAATGCCCGCCATTGTCCCCTCCATTCCCTCTGCGGAGCCGGCAGGTAAACCGACGACTCCCAGGCTTTCTCGGACTTTCCGGCCCTCGGAAGCATCTTTATTCTTGGGTCATTTACTTTTGGGAAGGCGGTCCAAAATGATGGAGTCTCGCACGCGTCCGTAGCTGACTCCTCGACGGTACACCGAATTTCCCTTGAGAAACTACCTTCGGGTCAAGAAGTTTCGGAAAAGATACTCGGAACTCGAGCAGGTGCGTTGATACGTAACTAGCGCGAAACTCAGCTTCCTTCCTTAATATTGAAGCTCGCGTTCACCTCAGACGTTAATAATATTCTTTCGATTGTTTTTCATAGGAAAACGAAGGCAAATGGAATTAGAAAGCTGATATTTCAATTCACGTATATAGAGGAAAGTTAATGGAAGCGATGACAGTTTTTGTATGATTCTATAACCATTTATTTACACGCGTTAAAGCTCTATTTACATCGGTACTTAGCTCAGTCCCGCCGCTTGTAAAACGTTTAATCGAATCAACGCATACGTTCATATATGCGGTAACTTTGTACTCTATCTTATCGTTAAAATGCCGCAAGTCGTATTTACATTTGTACAGTGCTTTACACGGTTTGTTTCGTATCCGCGAATATACTATCCGTAGCCTTCGCGAACAGTCGTTGCGTTTATTGCATTTGCGCGCACCACGTGCGCAAGTACTAGCATTCTGATAAAAAATATATTAATACAAAAATATCGACCCTTTATTTTCTCGTCCCGGTACTATATATATACGGAGCTCTTAGGAGCGCGATACATCTGCCGTGATATATGTATATCACAGTTTCTTTCTTTTATTATTATGGCCTTTCTATACGGTATACTTTGTTGTACAGGCTTTCAAAGTGAGATCGCTCGTAACAGTCGAGCTTTCATTTCGTCGAGATATCAATCCCGGAAGGGACGATATACCCGTGAGTAATATAATTAATAACAAGTCACGAGACAGGAAGGCTTCACTGGATTTCGTGACGCTCGCGAACGCGAGATAATTTTCCCAGCGCAGAATCGATGTTTTAAGAACCGACTTTTTGCACATCTCTAATCGGGCGAAGTTGAAAAATTGCGCAGATAACAGGTTAGCTCCAGCAGGAACATCTTCCTGGGAAAAATGAGCAATGTAGGGCGCACCGATAGTTCCGAATTACAGGGTCGAAGACAAAGAATTCGTCATCGACGTCATCTATAAATTGGATTGATAATTTCCTCGCTCGGAATGATTTGCACGTGTCAACATGACTCTCTCAATCTAGATCACAATTAGTTTGTATAAATCCGTCGACGTAGAGCACCCAGAGATCCCGAAGACGACTTCCAGCCTCTCCCGATGAACACTCTGGGCTAATAACATTCGATTAACGTTAAACCGTTCAACTTCCCCGTTCCCAAATGACGAAAATTGCAATTTCGAGTGGACAAAGAATTCCCCTTCATCGTCATTCACGAAACGAACTGATAATATCTTCGTTCGAATTAATTTGCACGTGTCAACGTGATCCTTTCAATCCCGATCACAACACAGTTCTTATAAATCCATCGAAGAAGAACATCCAGAGATCTCGTAGACGACTTCCCGTTGCTCTCGATGCACCCTCTTGGCTCATGATATCGACATTAATTTCCTCGTTGCCGACATACCCTGTCTCCATGCTCAGGTTGATTTGTACATGTCGCAGATGATCCTTTCGATCGGAATCACTCCAATGGTCCTCCGGAAGAACAGGTCCTCGATGGCGTGCGTGGAAACCGAGCGAAGGCTCGGCAGAAGAAGCAGCAGTTTCCCAAATCTGAGTGCACCAAAAGATGCCCCACTCAATCTCTGACCAAGAGCCAGCTGGGCCCCGTCTCTTAACCTTGCCACCGCAGCTGGATCCCGAAGACGACTTCCAGCATTCGGAGAAGCCGAGCCGTTGCTGCTTCTGCTGCTGGGAGCTGGAGGCTCGCAGTCCAGACCCGCCTTGAAGAGGACTATCGCCCGGATGCAGGCAAACTCGTGTGGATCGAGGTTCATGGCGTGGAAACCTGCCAGGGTGTCGCGAAACCGATTCACCTCCACCGCCAACCCCAGGCCTTGGGGTCCTGGCGGCAAGAGGGGGGTCGGATCCAGAGTCGGCAACATCTGAGCCGCTGCCAGAAGGAAGAGCTCTCTCCAGGAGGCCTCCAACAGGGTCAGTTGATCGTCCATTCCTAGGCCGGTCCCGGTGGCCAAATCCCGCGCCCAACGGACGTTTAGGAACAGCAACCTGGCTGCTTGCTCGCACACCGACTCCGCGGTAATCGCCGGCAACATAGAGACTGTCGGCAAACCCGCTACGCTGACCGGAATCTGGAAAATAAATTCAGACGTCGATATAGGATCTCCATTTGCGGTTTCTCTACTTCGGATGTAATTTTGACTTCTAATCATCTCTTCTTATTGTGTTGGAGAACGATACGTTCATCAAATTTACACCCTCCGAGTACACGAGGTTACAGTCAAATTACTCATTTGACGTCTTAGAAGTCAATTGCGATACGTGTACTATAAATTTTCAAATAAATTTATGACTTTATAAAATCGCGTTATAATTTTGTGAAACTGAAATTAATACTCGTGCAAACTAAATCGATGATACCATGTTTGAATGAAACATTAAACGAACCGTTGGAGGATTAAGAAACTCGGTAGAGCTTCGCGCCAAATGCATATAGACGCGCAATTACAATATTCTTTTCAATAGCTATCAACCTTTGGGATGGCCATGCTGTTGCAGTAGATGGGGTGCGAAAGTGGGTGATGAGGTGCCGGGGCGGCGACGGACACCCGGGGCTCGGTTGGTGATTTCGGCAATGCGAGATCCAGAGCTCCTGCCGGTGCCTGTACCATGGAGGCCATCATTTCGGGCTCCTTGAAATAAAGGGCCATTTGTCGTCGCAGGGTCGAGTTTCGAGGCCCTCGTTCGTGCTGCACGGCTGTGGGCAAATGGAACAAACGCGTAAAATAAAAATTCAGATATTACACAAAATGATCGTTCAATTATTCCTAATTTAATCGTTAGAAAAAACCTTCGCAAAAATGGCATGCTTTGACGTTAACTTCATGCGTAACGCCTATTCCGTGTTGAACCTTGAATCGGTTTCCTTACTTTAAGAGGATATGAAAGATGCTAAGAAATTTAATTGACGTCAATAAAATAAAATTCATCTATACCCTTTTTGAAGAGAATGCCGTTTTGAATGCTCAAGTGGGAACATAAGCTGGGTTCCATTACCGACATTTATATTTATGTTGAAGTCTGTTACGGTCTACGTTGAGAATTATATGAACCGAAGGGTTCCATGTGTCATTTCGGTAAAGAAATGATAAAAAGATCGATATACAACTGTTGAAATCCCATGAATTCGTGACCGTTTATATTTTGACGAACCGTCGTCGCCATTTGCGACGTTTAGATGCAACTAATTTTGTGCTCTATAAATACGCGTTAGCCGCGGGATAAGACAGCATTCTTTTGTAATCATTGGTGAAAGTATTTACCACATTTTTCCACGTGATTCTCTAATATTCCATTTCTACGGTACTCCAAATTATTCGAGCTAGGTCCTGAAACTTCATTTTCAATTCTAAGCCTCAAAGAAGCGTAAAACATCGAAAACGTGCCCGGATCACGCCATGTTGGTTCTAGTCCATGATGAGTAAATAAATTTTTGATGAAAAATGAAATTTCACGAGTTTCAGGACCTACTTTAGGGCCTCCATATCCACGTGGTAGAATTTGAAACAAATCGGTACACCGAATTCGGAAAATACTTTCCCCAACGATTTGACTTCTTACAATCAGATATATATAAGCTGCCTCTTTCATATCCTCTTAAAGACAAAAAGAACGCGCAGTTTTAATATCAAGTAAGATGCAATTATAAATAGAAACTCAATACAAAGATGTAATTGGTGTTAACCGTTTCAATGTTTGCATAACATTTAAATAAAAAGATGCCCGTAAAAGGGGGCGAGGGACGTTTAGCACAGCGCAGAATTGCCATTATCGATCAATTGGGTTCTCGCGGTATCTACCAGAAAAGGTGATAGAAGTCTCAAAAAGAAATATTTAATTCAATTGGATGTATATCATTTCGAGCATCAAAACATGCGATTTTCTCGTATTGCAAATGATACATCATCTCTTTCATTTAAGACGTTTAGGTCAAGAAAGGATCCTCACCATCCTTGTTCATTCCGGCCTGTATGCATTTTGCAAGACGGCAGGCCCGGCATTGATTCCGGTGCGTTTTGTCAACCATGCATCCACCCTCCGATTTCGCTTTGCACACGTACTGTCTGTTCCTGCGGATGGATCTCTTGAAGAAGCCGGCGCATCCGTCGCAAGCAAAGATCCCGTAATGCTTGCCCGAAGAATGGTCCCGACAGACTTTGCACGGAATATCGTACAAGATTCGACCTGGAATCAGAAAAAAAGCGACCACCGTTAAATCTCATCGTCCTCGTCCTCGGGGTACCCGACAGTGCCCAAAGGATTCCCGTCCCACAAATGGAACAAAACTCGAGCGGACGTGTCAAAGAGAGCCTGGATTTCGTTTTCCCTATTCCTCCCCTTTCTTCGTCAGGATTACACCTTCCGGAATCATGACTCTTTACCTCGGTAGCCCCTCCATATCGTGGTATTCCAAAAATCCCAATCTTCTCGTCAACGCTTATCGAGAAGGACCTTCGGGATCAAAACCGGGAGCACGTGAAATCCTTTTTGCTTCCGATTTCTCCGCGTTCCTCACCTCGACCAATCCCCTTTGAAAGAGTCAGAGCCCATAGGACGTTTCCGCGATGCCCTCGCGAGGCCGTCAAAAGGTACTTCGAAAGCATTTAACCTTCGCTTAAACGGGCCCTTCGTCGCCATAAAGAACCGCGAATTGATTGGTAGATCGCGATACGAGATGAAGTGTCGTATTTCTGGTTGCTCAGTTAGTCCGGTGAATGCGGCAGCCACATCCGGTTCCCATTGAAGGCCATTCACAGGACTTCGTCCACTGGGCGAGATGAATGGGGCGTGGGCGGAGCCCACGATGACGGGAGGACCAAGGAGTTGGAACCCCATTATAACGCGACGAGTCTCCCCCTTGCTGTGTACCAACGTGCCACCATCGGGGACAGGTAGGGAACTTGGCGACAAATCGATCCATTCCACCGCCGGGCCATTCAAGGATCCGTGTTTTCCCTCGTAAACGGGTTCCCCGCCAAAATACCCCATTCTCTGGGAGATTACCCTGGAGTCTTCGGAGATCTCTTCAGGGAGGCCTCATCTTCGTGCCTCTTCCGTGATCTGAACTTAAAATCCAAGATTGAAACTATTTGCCCCATTTTTTTAAACGAAATTTCTTTAAAGACGGTGGCAAGCGTAAGTTCGCATGTTACGAAAGAAATCCGTTTCGAAAAATGAAATGCTTTTTTTTTTAAAGTAAATTACCGTTTACATTCATCTTTGTATTTTTGTATTAACAAAATGTTCGTTAACGTTTTTATTAGTGTTTTTTCAATTCGAATCGTTATTTAACGAGACAATCCTCAGCTTCCGGCTTGGCGAAGTTGAAATACAATCGCGGCTTATTATCATTATTTTTATGTCCAAAACGATTAGTGCCAAAGGCGTTAAGGGTATTTCATTGAAAAATTAAAATAATTAAGAATATCTAATCATTTTAATTATAAATCTTGCACGTTTATAAAGGGATGCCCACTCCGGAAACGAAAAATATACCTGACGCGAAACTCAATTCAGATGCCAAAACGAATATACTTTAATTTACGCCGTGCAGGTCGGATTTTCAACTTTTGACGTAAACTACGTATTTCGCGAAAGTACATATGAAGGGGGGGCTCGCACAGCCGAGGGGCGTGCCGAAAATCTGTCATACACGGCCTCGCTAATTATCGCTCACCGAATTGCACCGCAAATATGAAATATATGACATTCGAACGATAAAGAGTGTCTAAATACGCAAAAGAAGGGAAAATTGGTAAAAACTTGCCAAATTTACAAAACGGTGCAATCTGAAACCTTAGCTTGATATGTATTGTTCATTCATTGTAAATAATTGGTGTCGCGTGATCAAAAAAGACTAATCGTTGGAAAATCTCTTGGTAGATCACGTGAGAAAATAAAATTTAAACCTATTTTAAAGCCTTCTTCTATATTAGAAGATTTGGAGTAGCACCCACCATTTTTCAAAATGCCTAAATTAACTGTTGTAGAAAGACAAAGAAATCGTCGAAAACGTAAACAGGAGGAGGATTCTAAGAGGCCCAAGAGTATCGAAAAAATGCAGAGAGCAATAAATAATACCATTGTCCAGAAAAAACAGTGCGTAGAGTTCGACGAGAAACCGTCCATATCCAGAGTCGAAAGACGTTTTTACATGAAATTTGCGGCACTGGTGAAAGCTTGGGGCCCTACCATTTTTTAAAAAAAGATTTTCCTGCATTTATCGTTTCAAGAAGCATCCTCAAGAAGAAACGTTATTTACCTATTATTTCGAAATACTGCTCTGGGGGTTTTTAGGTATTCCGGTTAGTCGTGGGGATAAGTTCCTATCAGGTGAAAAATTGTTGGGTTTAATTAAATTTCCGGGCCGGCAGAAGCACTCGAGGCAATAAAGCGCACGCGGAGGCAGTCGGCGCTGCCGAGGGGTGCGTACGCGAATGACAGGGTGCGCGTCCACCCTTCGCATTCGAGGAGCTACTTTTTTTTCCCCAGAAGGGAAACTTGAACGGGAAAGTCGCGCCCATTGGCCGTCATCGGAATCACGCAATGCGTTTTGCGGTCGACCGTGCGAGACATAAAAATTTCACCGAGTGCACCGGGGCGCGCGCCTAACTTGGCGGTCTTCAATTTTTCATCCCTCGCCGGAGATAAAGTCCGTGCTTTTGCAAGCGACCTGCGGTTCCTTAAACATTCATGCGATTTTTACAGTTTGCCCCTCGTTCCCGGCGATTATTCTTTGCGCACGGGGGTGCGTTAAAACCGTAAGGTAAGGACTCTCTGGCCGGGCGAAAAATACTGACATTATCCCTGACTGTAGGGGGCAGGTTACGTTCTTGCAAACGGCGTTATGTATAATAAGTGGCTTCTCTTTTTTCCTTTTCTTTAGGCGATCGCGGGGTGGTCTTCACCGGACGTGATTCACGCGGGTGTTCCGCAAACTTCGTTTCAGAGCCCACCAACCCTTCGATGGTCCCGCATCCTCGCTCCTCCACTCACCCCCGGAAAAGGCGGCTTCGAGTGACAATAATTAACGACACTTGGCAATTTCAATCGAGCATATGCTCCTCGTAAAAATTTGTCCGAAAAATAAAGAAAAAATTCAATTGGAAAGATTCTTGAATTGAAACAGTTACGCAATCGATGTGCAGCAGGTAGTGTTGACAACAATTGTTAATAAAACAATGAAAGGGAAGGTAAATTCATAAAGATCCTCGAGTTGAAATTAATATAGAAATTACGTGCAGCAGGTTGTGGAGGGCATGGCTAATTGACTATCAGGTGGCGATAGGAGATGCATCGTTAGTGGAGCATGGGAATTTAGTGACATATGCTGGAAAGCGGATCCACCCCCGCGATTCGTTCAACGTTTTCGTGATGTTCAGGGGTTATCGTTGTCATCTGTTCGTCGCGGGGGGTCGTACCCGCCTGCGGGAAGCAACCCACGAATCATCCCTTAAACAGAGGTTCGCCAGAGCTCGTCCTGCTATACGCAATTAACCCCGAAGCAGGTTTCATTTTACCAGAATTGTTTCGATTTTCCCGCACTTGGTTCGCACATAAAAAGCAAAGGCAGCCCGACTACTCGAATATCACGGATTTGTTTTACAAATTAAACTTAAATTGGAATTTATATATCCATATTAACGTAATATTTTTCATTTTTATGAAATCATTTACAATTGGCGACTGTAATTATTTTATGAGTCATGTCGATGTATACCCATTGTTGTTGCGTTTCGTCCCGGGTTTGCCTGCGGACTGTCAAGTAAGGCTGTTAGGCAGACCCTGCCCTTAGGCACCGAAAAATTTCTCCTGAGCAGGATTCGAATCCGAGAGACTACGCGATACGAGCGGTGAGCGTAACCACAGGGCTATCGAAGACCCAGGTAGAAGCAAGAACTTCTGATATACGTATGCTATGACCGCCACAATTTATTCCATCCTCCTGTCTTGTTTCTACAAAAAGGTAAAGTGCAGTCGTACTAGCCTCGCGCAATGAACGGCTTTTCAACATGGCCGAAACCCTCCCTTGCTTCCTCGTCTCGTCTCGGGTAGGTACCCCTGTTTTATTATTTCAACTGATAGGCTCATTATGCACGGGGAACGTTGAAATATTAATGAAAAATATCCCCGGGCAGTCAAGTCCGCGGCACATATGTTTTAGCTTTCGATGGTGCCTACATACACAATTGGCTCCGATTGTTTTTTTGCTAAGGAAAAGAGAGAGAAGGATCGCAAGTGACGCGCTACAAAAATGTTAAGTACGTTTATACAATTTTGAAGCTAATCATTCCGAGCGATAGAAATAATTATTTTCCAGGGAAATTTATCGGGAAGAAAATAAACTTCGGTCCGAAACTGATTTCTGACCAAATGATGCCTGATAATGAAATTTCTACAACCTGCAGATCAACCACGGCGATTCCCGCCATATTGCGGTTCTCTGCAACCATATGGTCCTACTTTCTCATGGGCCAATGCGTTATTGAGGGTGGATCGTTTAAATGCACAGCGACGGTCATTTCGTTTAAATGCCACATGCTCTCGGTTTCACACGAGATGCCGCGAGTTCATAAATGTACTGCGAACAATTGTGGGAATCCTTTTACATGAGAAATGCGTATACCCCTGTTAACGACTATGCTTATTACCATCTCCATTCTACCGAAACGGAGAAACAAGCGATGGACGAGAAAGATGGACGCCCGAAATTTTGACAACAAATATGAAAAATAAAACGCAAAGTAACGAGTAGAACTATTACTTCCTGAAATTGTACTAAAGCTATACGCGTAAGTAACAAATAATGACGCTTACTAATCAAACTCCAAGCCCATTTGTGAATTTCTTGTATGGATCCAACATTTTATTGTGGAAATTGAAATTAAAACTGAAATAATTGAATTTTTACTATTTAAAGTACTACTGAGAGGGAATATATAAGTGGCAAATAGTGTCACTTAAAAATCGAACTCTAAATCAGTTGATCAATCTTCTACGCAGATCTTGTACAGAAAACTATGCCCTGGGTCATCCCTTGTTACGATCGTTTCCTCCACGATGTGACGGTACCGTCACCAGGTGATTAAAGGTAATTGCAGAAATATTCGAATCCTCATCTTCTACCTTTCCCCTGTTGCGGCAAGAGGACAAGAATCGTCAAAGGCACTCGAAACTAGAAAGTGAACGTCGAAGACAATGCCGTTGATTAGAGGGCTTAGGAGGGTGCAAGTACTGTCACCTGTAGAAGCACTTGGCTCCAAAATCGAAGCGCTAAATCGGCGAGCTTCGTCTAAGGTTAAATTGTCTTCGGGCCATTTCCCGCTTTCCGCCTCGATATTCCAGCAAGGAATGGATTTGCCAGAAAGGGTTTTTATGGCTGTGGTTTTGGAGCTAACGAGTGCCATAAAGGCGGGTCCGCTTTATTGGCGACCCGCGCGATAATCCTGCTACCGCTAGGCGAGAGTTTCGGACAATTTTTTCCTTCTCTCCGAGCCCAAGACGCAGCCAGAAGCAGGAAGGGCACTTTAGTGCGCTTTTAATCTGTCCAGCAAATAATGGAGTTTTCGTTCTTCGGGGACCGGCGCAACGCCACGGGGGGTGGCGATAGCCGATCGCAGGAAGCGAAGTTTTTACGCGCCCGGGCTATTTGTTTAGGCGCTATTTGCTCCTCGTTTGCTAACAATTTATGCCGCTTACGGCGTACCGAGGCTTCGGGATTTCCTAATGCATGTTTCGGGACAGCTGGGCGACTTTTTTTTATCTCTTGTTACGGGAAACTAAAGGACCGAGAATTACTGAGTTTCAGGGTGCAAAGCTAGTTTTTCTTGTATTGCGTTCCTGTCCTTAAGGCGGGTTTAAGGGTTGACGTAAGCTACGTGCTTTCCAGCCAGAGGTAGGTAGTTTCCTATTCACATAAAATGTGTTTCGAAGGGTATTTTGAGTTTATTCCGAAATGTCCTATAATCTTTAAGTATCTCTCGTCAAATCTTGTTTTAAATCATTTCTAACCATTATCGTAAACGATTGAACGAATGTATTGGATTGTTTCACAAATTTGCGGAAATTTATCAAAGTTCAACAATTTATTTTTTGCAACGATACGAACGACACGTCAGTTAGTAAAGTATTCTTCGATACCATTCATCGCGTCTTGTGATACTCTTGGTGGTTTTATTTAAACGTACAATCATCTTAAACAAAAATGCGCTGCAAACAAAGTTTATAAAATAACCTAATACGTAAAAAAGTGTAACCCTGGCACCGCGGTATTTTAATTTCCACGGAGAAAAATCTTAGATTGAATCAGTAAATTTTTTGTATTCAACCGAGAAATTTAGTTATTATATAGACAATCATATATTTGGTTGACATGACTAAATTCTTCGGTTAATAATTTTTGGTCGATCACATAAAATATTGTGGTATATCACCCCAAATATTAAAGTAATTTGGTATATTTAACAAATACGGTAAAATGTACGGTTTATTTACCTAAGTATTTGCTACAATTAACAAAACGATTTAACCGAAATATTTTAGAATACAAACTACTTAAGTCACGTGAACTAAAATTCGGTTTACTCAATGAAAACCTTTTCTAAAATTAATCAAATACAATCAATCAAACCAATTTGTAAAATGAACGAAATTCTCTTTGTTTGGATGTCTGAGGGACAAGACTTAACTTCATAATTTTCCCAGTTACGACGGAAACTATCTATCCTTAAAAAAAATCCTATACACACAATAGCGATAGCTTACGCTTAAAAAACAACTGGAAATTATTAGGAGCGTTATTATAATATGTAACTTAATTTTTTTTTTTAAACTCATGGCAACGATAAAACTCGTTAACACATCCGACCGGTATTTTTTCTTGCCTACATCGCCTAATGGCCAACGTTAATTAGGTGGTTTTTCGTTAATGTTCATGAATTATTTTGATCCGTTTCGATTTAAGGATGGTAACGTCAGTTTTTTAATGCAGGGCACAAACATTATCAATATTAGTCATTTGGGCGGGAGGAATCATCTGGGGATCATCTGGTAGAGAGGAAATCTTAAGCGGAATGTTAGAAATCACTGGAAATCGTTAGAAATTGCCGAAACATTGTTACAGAAATTTAATGTCGGCGACAGACTGGACTCGTGGGAGCTGCTGCCAAAACATCGCGATTAAAGGAATATAAAAGTGGCATCTGCAGAATCAATCGTTCATGAAACTTTTTTCCGAACTGAGTGTGCCGAATAGTTTCAAATATTACCACATGAATAAGGAGATCCTAAGGTAGGTTCCGAAACTCGGGAAATTTCATTTTGCATGAAAAATTTTGAAAATATCTATAAACAAATTTAAAAAGGATTGAAATTTCATGAGTTTCAGGACCTTCCTTATACCCTCTATATTTATACTGTCGAGTTTGAATGGATTCGGTACACCCAGTTTGGAAAAAAGTTTCACGAACGAGAACTCTTTCACGCCACTTTCACATCACCTTAAATCCCACGTGCGACGGGTCGTCAGGAGACGTCACGTTGGTTCGGTAAAAGTGGCCATTTCTGTTTATTAAGGTGATATGAAAGCGTCATTCTATACATATAAAACGTAAAAATATAAAAACTTTTCTCCAAACTGGGTGCACCGAATAATTCGAAACTTTAACAGGTGATTGCGGAGGTCCTAAGAAAGAACGCGATGCTCATGAATTTCATTTTTCCAAAAAACGAAAATGGTTTTTTATTCCAGACTGGAACCAAGGACACTTTTTTTTTTAATATTTCACGAGCATCGCGTTCTTTCTTAGGGCCTCCAAAACCACGTGCTGAAGTTTCAAATGATTCGGTGCACTCAGTCTGGAGGAAAGTAGTATAAATATTTTTACATTTTGATACATAGAATTTTCATCGCACCTTAAATCGGGAAAGGGCTCGATTTAAATTCCTTCGAATTGCAAAATTTCGTCCGCGAACTTCACGACCCCTTTTATCAAATTGACTGATTTCTATTTTCACCTCGCGCAAATACCCAACGACTCTTTTCAAGCGACTGAGGGGTTGAAAACATGGAGAATTTTTATAAAAATAAAAAAATGTTTGGAAAAACTTACTCGACGAGGTCTGCATCTTGGGCTGCGACCCGGAGATGTGAGTCAGCTGGGTCTCCTGGCTTTGCATGATCTTCGGCACCGAGTACCTCTGCACAGCACTATACGTATATGCCACGGTCGCAAGGTGTCAACGCGCCGAGAAGGACTGTCAACCGAGGTCCGTCGAGGTCTCGTCTAAGGGTAGCCGACGCCTCGAGGAAGCCGAAGAAGCGCTTCCTACTGCTCCCGGAGCTAACTCTTGAATGAATTGTGACTGACAGTCATCGTAGTCGAGACTTTTTGATGGTTCGTCGGGTGCCGTTTCGAGGACGACTCGGGCCGGGATTGGCCGAAAGCTTCCCTACCCCTCGGAGGGCGGCGCCTTCGGAAGCGTGGCCACCCCTCGGGCCGAGGGGATGGACGCGCGAGGCACGCAGCGAGCCGAGCCGAGTCGCTACCCCATTCACGGACGGAAGTGACGAAAACGGAGCCACTTCGCCCCCACCCCTGGGACACCCCATTGTGGCCGCTGCCGTTGTGCCCCGCTGTCAACGCCGGGGCTAATTCGTCCGATGCTTCCTACCGATTTACCTAACGAATTGACCCTCCGGCCGATGCTCGCGGAAATTCCTCGCGACCCCCTCGAGCATCCGTGGGACGTTATATGCATATTATTTGAGGTGAAGTGAAATCCCCCTCAAATCAGTCGATTCGAATACAACACTTTTTTCTTAAGGGTACTCGATAGAACTGTCCGAAACTTTGACACGTGACTCGTGACCGCCTAGGAATTATCCTAACACTTTCAAAACTTGGATTTTTTAAACAAATTTTTGAACTTAGCCCATACCAGAAACAAAATGGCGTCGAGCTCTCATATTTCGATTGATATCTAATTATTGAAGGCTCTAATATGAGAAACGAAAGGGTCAGGACAATTGTACGGCAATTTAGAACAATCTGATAATCGGGAAACTCGCATTTGAACGGGGTAAAGGCAAAAAAGTGTCTCATGCGCTTCTATGCTGTAACGATGACAATACGAGGTCTCGTAATGAAAATTTAGTTGTCGCGGAAATCACAGACGGCGTAGGGGGTCCATCTGCAGTCAATTTGCGCCTCAGAAGCCATAAATCCAGGAGACTTCCGGAATTTCACTTCGATTTCTTTATAATTATTGCACGAAAACGACAGATGCAGCATGGCATTTGGTACAATACTGAGTATAATTCGACACGGCCGTCGGTATAAAAACGAACGTCGGCAACGTAGGTAATTAGAAAAACCTGTTTTATCGACGTCGATCAAGTTCCTCGGCGTGTTTCATTTCACCTTAATAAGCCGGACATAATGCGACGAGGAGGTGCAGGACGCGACAGCACTCGCGACTTCTCCCCGATCTTATTCCTTGTAGTCTCGTGAGCTGCGAGCGAGGCGAAATTCACTGAATTGTTCTCGCTTCGTGTTTGTTTTTTGACTTTTAATTTTGTTTTTACCGGTACCGTTTAAGGTAGTTCTTTTGGCCATTTAGTCACGATATTTTCCGTTTGCAACGCCATCGGTGGGGTTGAGTTGACCCTTCGGACCGATGCTCGCGGAAGTCCTCTCGCAACCCTCTTGAGCTTTTTAACAAATATTTTAGATATATTCGGATGAGATCTACGACACGTCTTTAAAAATCTGTCTCTTGTGATATTTAGCAAAAGTTACGAAAAATTATTTAGAAATTATTCCGCATACCTAGGCTTCTATGAACAACATTGTTCCCGGAGTAATAGAAACCAATAAAATTCTTCTATTCTACATATTACTGCGGCAACGAAAACTTATGGCTACCTCGCATTGCGCTTTCCTTCAATTTTCAGTTTGGTTAATTTTCAGTTTGATAGGATGAAAACTGCGTACTTGTGGGAAAATGTTAGACAGCATCCCTTGACGTGAATAGTTTCTTGAATATCTATTTACCGATCGAGAGTAATTAACGTTTATTCGCAATTGTGTACGAGATGTATGAGAAGCACGGAGGTGCTCCGCTGTGCGGTCCGATTTGAAGGGTAGAAATTTCGAAGGGTAATCGTGAGAGAAAAATTATTTTTCCTCTGGATTTGCCTAATGAACCCCCTTTTTACGTCTTTGGTATGTTAACGCGCTGCTTAAACTGGGACAAAAAAATATTCAAATTACTGGTCACCTCAAGGGTCGCGTATTGGCACTTCTCTTGTTGTTTAATCCTCGGCTTGGGGGGTGAATTTTGCTGCTGTGTCCGGTTTATGAGATTCTGCAAGAGGGTATTTTCGTTACAAAGGGGTACAGCTTCATCGATCGGGTCTAATTGCGGCAAACATTTGCCTAGTATTTCCTACATCCCTAAAGTTGAATTTAATTGAAAGCAAAATCAAAGTCTTAAAAAGAAAGAATCCGCCCTTTTTAGGCCCGTCTAGAGTAGCGCGCAAACATAACCTCCATTCTGCCGGCACATTCCACCTTTTTATGTTCATCCTGTCTGTTGTGACTCGCTGATGCGTGGCTCAGATTCAGGTGAAGATTCCTTCGATCGCGGTTAGCTCTTCATTGAATGAGATAGGTCGAACACAAAAACCGAGCTGCAATTCCCGTGCAAGCAGATGCGCTTCTGTGACTCCCTGACTCCATCTTGAATTAACAGATCTCCGATGCCTGGGTTTCTTCCCTGGGGAACCCTTGCGCTTCTCTTTGGCCAACTTATTACACGACGGTACTCGATACCACCACGGGGAACCCACGGGGCAACTTTTTATCTCGCCGATGGAGAAGTTAAGATCTTAACCCGGGAAGTTATCATCCGCGCAGAGGAATGCGACACGTTCGACGAAACGTCTCTGGATGCGTTTTGCTCGCATTTCCAGGCGTCCAGTTCCATTCATTTCCGTTCATAGTTTTATTCATTTCAGGTTCTTGCCTTATTTTTAATTTCACGATGTGAATTGCGCTGGAAGCATTAACGAGAATCCTGTGAAATTAAAATTCGATCGCGTTTGTGGTAAATGCAGAATATAGAGATAATGGGAACAACATATTTCCGTCCATAATATTTTTAAAGTTAGATCGATTCAGCCCTAACGTGACTTTTTAAATTGTTAAAAATGTTCCCTTTCCTTAATTCGCTTGAAGACTTTTTAGTAAATTAAAATCACCGAAAAACCTGGTCTCCTCGATGATGCTCCCACGAGAGATTCGTCTTCTTCGGGGAAACCAAACCGGGAAATAAGGTGGAAACGATTCCTTGAGAGGATATCTGGAGGTAACTGACGGTTCGAAAAGATGAAAGAAAAAAAAAAAATTGGGCACTCACCCCGAAGATTTGAGGTTTCGTAGGAAGAATAGGAAAATTCGGACACGCAAGGCCTAGGTCCGCACTCGAGGAGTGTTGGGGTAACTTGACTCAACTTTTACCGGCGAAACGGCTTGCAGGGAAAAAGCGGGCCCTCTTTCCCTTCGACGGATGCTCAGCCGACCATGGGGTTTTGGCTTGGGTGCAATATGTCGAGGAGATTATCCACGTAACTATCCGAGAAATCTGCGCATAAAGGTGGCCTCGCCGGCGAGCACCATAGGTTCGGGATCCGGGACCTCGGGGCTAAATAAGAGATTCGAGTCGCTTTGTCAAGAAGGCAAATGCAGCTAAACGGCTGTAATAGGACCGGAATCAAAATACAATTGTCTAGGGACCGCGGGTCCTGGCACGGTAACATTCTCTGTAGGAGAGAACGGTATCTACTTTGGCAGGGTGGCTGCTGACTATCCAGCGGACGTGGATGCTGGGCCATGGACCATGGGGCATGGGGTGGACAATGAAGGAATGTTGTTTCAGGGTGACAACTTCAGGGCGAAGCCTTCGCGATTTTCGGCTGGTATATCTTTTACGAACGATAGATCGAATCTCTTTGGATAAATTCTTACGAACGGAGTGAGAATTTTTTCAGCCGTGTAAAGAATCCCTCGCGATCTTCAACCGATTGGGTAGACTTCCCTCTATAAATAATGATTTCAAACTTTTTTGATAAATTCCTACTAGGGTAGAGGGCTCGGCTTGAAGCTCTGTACAAATTTGAAGCTGGCAAGAATTTCTGCACGACGTGGAAGTTCCGGTAATACAGAGAATACTATAGGAATTGTATTGAAATCTTTCCTTGCAATTTCATCAGAAGACTCGATACATATTTGCTATACCATAAATTATAACATAAGAGGTGTATAACATGATTCAATATTCGCAATCCTGCAGGACGCTATCTCTCCGATCTGTACCAGTTTCCCAGTCCCAAAATTTGCGTACAGGCGATCTCCCTAAGGGCACATCAAAAGGCAAGCCCGCTAACTGCCAGGAAAGCTGACCACTAATGAGTTCACATCGGAAGCCAAACCTGTTTACAATCCGGCATATAATTTCCAGAAATACAAATTCCTTTAGAAATTCATCTCCCAGGAGAACGAGAATAAATATCAAGCGTGTCGTGACCGTCATCGGAGAACCCCACGATAGTCCGGATCCTTTTCGAAGGACAATAGTTAGTTGCAGCCAATAATGCGGCCCGGGTAAGATAAAATGCCGATATAATAGGGTGAGCGGTAATCGGCGCAAAACCAGTTTAAGAGCAAGCCGGTCCTAATCGCGTAACCAATATCGGCCTTAATTCGGATTTCAGATTACGACGATTCGGGTCCAGCGTTATATAAGTAAAGGGTCAACGGGTGGTCCAGTTCTTCCCAACTTGTTCGGGGTTGGACCGAAAAAGTTGTCAAGGGGTCGGAAGCAGAGCGGGAGAGACGGCGAAGACAGGCCCCAGAAGAGAAAGAGAGAGGAGAGCCGAAATAAGCCCATCAGGCTCGTGCTTAGCGTCCGGAGTCTAAATCCAAAACTCCAAGTTTCAGGTAGCCCCGTCTTATGTCGCCGCTATCTCGGCCAACATCTTCCGGGTGGGTCCCTTCGGGGCTAACCCGGTGTTAATCCTGCCAGAGGCTATTCACTGTTTGCGCCTTGTTTTACTGGTATTGCATTTAACGAGGCTCCCGACGAAGACCGCCCCTCGACCGGACCCAAAGCAGCTC